AAGTCTTTTAATGAAATTTAAATAGACATAAGTTAGTAAAAAATATGATTATATAATTTATGGTTCACAAAAAACAGAATTCAGTTTTCTGAACCTGAATAATAATAGTGTAGATATAAATACTTAGATAAAAATAACAGCAGTCCTCTTTTTGACTCTTCACGTGTAGATAAAATTGATTATTCAAAATAACCCCAAGACTGTAACATTTTACAATATATTAAATATGGTATCTGATAACTGCCTTGTTAATATGTACACACACACACACAAATGTCAGTAATGTCTTTCTATTTTGCAAAATGAGGATACTTTCACCATAAAGCGTTTTTGTTTTTTTGGTGCTGGGGATCGATCCCAGGGACTTGTGCATATGAGCAAGCATTCTGCCAACTGAGCTATATCCTCAGTCTCTCACCATAAAGTTTTTATGCAGACCATTCTTGGAAATAAAATGAGCTCTATAATTAGTGCTATGGTCTGAGTTTTGCTCATATGTTGAGACAATCTCCAATGCAGTTGTTTCAAGAGACAGGGCATTAGGAGATAATTGGGTTATGAGAGTTCTGCCCTCATGAAGGGGATTAGTGTCCTTATAAAAGAAGCCCAAGGGGGGCTGGGTTGTGGCTCAGAGGAAGAGCGCTTGCCCAGCATGTATGAGGCACTGGGTTCAATTCTCAGCACCACATAAAAATTAAAATAAGGGTATTATGTCCACCTACAACTAAAAAATACATGTTTAAAAAAAATAAAAGAAGCCCAAGGGAACTTGTTTGTTCCTTCCACCTTCTGAAAGAAAAACTGAAACCAGTGCAAGTTAACATCACATGAGAATTCAATAAGAAAATGCCTTCTATGAAGCAGAGAAGGAGCCTTCAGCAAACACACTGATCTGTTGGTGCCTTTATCTTGGAGTTCCTAGCCTCTAGAACTGTGAGCAATAAATTTCTGTTTATAAGTTACCCAGTGAAAGGTATTTTGTGGATTAAGATAGTTATTCCTTGCATTTCATTGACCTATTACCCTCCTGAACTTTTGTTTTGAGATATGCTGCATGATCTCCTATTGAACTCTTATGCTCAAGCAATTCTCCTACCTCTGCCTCCTGAGTATATGGGACTAAAGCGTGACCCTGTGCCAAGAGTGTCCCACACCATTTAAGATGCTTCCACAGTGTTTCTGTGAAAACATTGTTAGAATTCTGTTCCAGAAGATATTATCATAATAGCTGCATGATTCTGTTTGAACTGACTTCTAAAATGGTTGCTTTTAATCTTATATTTGGACATGCTCTGACCAAAGATGTTAAGACATTATATCTTTTTGATAATGCTAGAGATATCTTTTATAAGCTAAGAGATTCTAACAGTTAACACAATTATTTGTTGAGTACTTACTATGAGCTGCATGCTGTGCAAGGTCTTGTGAGGGAAGGATACAAAGAAGAATTTTTTTTCCTGCCTCCAGAAGCTCACATTGTGGAGAGAATTATAGATATGTTCAATCTCACAAATATTAATGGAAAACCTACCCTACATTAGCATGTAGTAGTAACTTTGTAACTTCATGTCCATAGGACATGGGTCTATTATGAATTCTGTAGCAAAGATATGGAATTTTCTAATGTTCTATAAATAAAGGAAAGATTATTTTGAATTAAAGATGTCTAGTAAGCATTGATACAGAACATGTTATTTGAAAATTTCTATGGAGGATTGACTGGACTTGAAAATTGACTGGGAGAAGGATTCTTGGTACAAAGGAATATAGGTGCATGAGCAGGTAAACAGACTCAAAATACATATTTATTTTTGGTATGTTCATTGTGTTCTTATATTAATGAATACTTTTACACTATGAATTATAAAAGCATGCCACTATGATATAATGATCTGGTATACACACAGATCATTTGGCCTCTCAAATGACATTTAACCACTTGGGAAATGGTGGTTACTGCAGATAACTGTTGGGCTGGGGTTGGCTTAGGTGCTGAGCATGGAGGCAGTGAGCTGGACAATGGGCGGTAGTGTGAAGCTGTGACTTGCTAGTGGTCAACTCATGGAGTTGAGGATAACAGACTAATCAACCAAAGCACCTAGTGAGAAAGCAAGAGTACTTTTCCCCCTGATCCCTCCTGGGATGTCTTCCACAATAGATGTGCATGGTGAAAAGGTCTTCTATCTGTGCTCTCGAACATTTGTGCTTTTGCTCATGCTTTTCCCCCAATAGCTGTGCTCCTTTTGTCCTTTCCATGCTTCACGCAGATAGCTCTGTCACTGGGCCTTCCCTCCTTTTCTTTGAAGTCTCCACAGCCTACTCTAGTTCATCACCACCCACTTCTCTCTGAATGCCTCTGTTGCCTATTGTCTTTGCCTATCTTTTGTTTGTTTGTTTGTTTGTTTGTTTTCTTTCACTTTTAAATTGATCTTTCTTCTTGAGTTATTAATTGTTCAGTTCATTTCTTGGGCTACTAATTATCCTTTAGTCATAAGAGCTACCATTTATTGAACATTCTCTGATTTAATTCTTACAATTCTAAGAGGTAATATTGGTAGCCCTATTTGATAAAATTGTTAATTCAACACACAGTTATGGACCCTTAGTAATTATGCCGTGAAATTGAAGATACCTCTGTGAACAAAACCAACAAAACTCCTGTGCTCAAGGAGTTACATTTCACTGGCACAGAAAATATGTCAAATGGAAGAAAGTTCTCCAGAGAAAAATGAGTAGAAAGGAAAGGAAGAAGTGATAGAGAGTAGAGGATTAAAATGTTTAAAGGGTGTCCAGGAAAGGCGTTGCTGAGAAAATAATATCTGAACAAAGACCAGAAGTATGAGGGAGATACGTGGACACAGGAGGGAACACAAGGCAGAAGGAAAAGAAGGACAAAGTCTATGGGGTGGGGGAATGCCTGAAGGAGATGTTGAACTGTGAGGTCAGGGTGCTGGGAAGAAAGATGTCAGGAGAACAATAGAAAGAAATTATAGAGTAGTGATAATGTCTAGATCCCGTATGGCTTTGTGACGTTTACTGTAAGGAAGTCAATTTTAACTCTGATCTAGTTGGGAAACTTTCAGTTGGGATGACTTTCAGTGGCTGAATGACATGATCTAACTTAGATTTTAAAAGACTGATTTTTGGCACTATGTCCATAATAATTTTAGGGGGATGAGGACAAAGTAGAGAGATTAGTTAAGAATCTACTTCAGCAATTCAGGTGAGACCAATAGTCTCAGCTAGGGTGGTATTAGAGAAAATGAGCAGTGGAACCTGAGGTTTAGGGAGAATGGGCGATTTGCCCCAAATCACACAATCCAGAAGGCAGCTGCATTACTTGTTTCCATTGCTATAAGAAAATTCCCAAGAATGGACAATTGGTAAAGAAAAGAGGCTTATTTAGTTCACAGTACTGGGACTGCATGGCACTATCTCTTTTCTGCTTTGGCGAGGGCCTTGTGGTAGAGGAATCAAAATGGCAAGGGTATATGTAAAATAGCTGATTAGGGAAGAACAGGAAGCCAGAGTAACTAGAGTCCCACAAGAACTCTATTAATCCTCTTTGAGGGAGGTTTCTGCAGTGACCTGATCACACCCCTGCTAGGCTCCACCTTGTAAAGGTTCTACCACCTGTCACATCACCACTATGGATGACACAGGAACCTTTGTTTAGGAGACACACTCAAGCCATAGCAGTGGCAAAGCAGGAAGTTAAGTTCAGGCAAACTTCCTTCAAAGCGCATGGTAGAGCTGGGATTGTAGCTCAGTGGTAGAACACTTGGCTAGCATTTGAGACTCTGGTGGCCCTAGCATCATCATCAAAAAACCAACAACAACAACAACAACAACAAAAACAAAACCAAGACACACAATCCATGGTGCTTTGTAATGCCAGATTCGTGGGACCCCAGTAGACCTCCTGGAGCTGAATCCCATGCAAGCACACAAGAGTCTTTATTGCAAGCTGGAGCCTGGACTCACAACCTTCCCAATGCAGCGGTCCCAGGGCGTGAGTCCCGGCCCTTTGTTCAGTGAGATTTTGTAGGTTTTGGGGGAATACTCTATGTGTCACAATATCACCCAGCAAATCATTCCATACCGCGGGGAAGTAAAACAACAACTCTTAACTTTGATTAGCACATTCACTGGCGGGAACAAGATGGGTAGGGGTGATTGGTTAGTACAAGAGAGGGATTCCTTGAACTGATTGCTTTAAGCCACGAGGGATGTACATGCTAAACTACATGGTTTCCCAACATGTTATCAACCGCCATAAACTACTGGGGGGTCATCTGGCATCCCAGGTATTTTCCCTGTCTCAAGCTGATTGGAGGTTGCTAGGGGGTTGCTATGGGTCCCCACCTAGCCTGACTGAGTCAGGGACACCTGGCACAGCAGATCTCTCCTGTTATTTACAGACAAACAACTCAGCAGGGTGGTATGTGCCTAGGAGTGCTCTGTGGGTTTTTCCCAGGATAGGGTCACACCCCTTCCTTAGGACAGGCCTTGAGGTAGAAGCTGCTGTTATTTATTTATTTTCAAAAATGGAGTTACATCAGCTTCTCAGCTTCTCTGTTCTTGTCTCATTTTACCATCTTGGTAGAAGGTAGGGGAGGGATAGAGTAGTTGCTTGACCCTGTAGTGAATGCCTTCTTAAGATTTATGCTCTGAAAAACCTCCCTGGCCCCATCCTTATTTTGGCCCTGAGACTAAGCCTTTGTATTTCAAATTTTGTTTTAGATCCTCAACCCAGAGATGTTCGATGGCAGTTCACATACCCATAGAAGATAGCAGTGGAAACATGCTCCTCTGTTTGTCCAAGTGCATGTGTGTGATACTGTGGGAGAACTGAGGCTGTCCTTTGGACACAGAGGAAGGCTTCAATACTTGTCTTTGTGCTATTAGTGTAGCTATTAGTCTTTTGTTTTGTTTTAATTAGTTACACATGATAGTACAATGACCTTGACATAGCATACATTTGAATCAGATGGGATATCTCATTTTTCTGAGTCTTTAATTCCAAAATTTTCTTTATTCAGTTTGGTTCATTCAATGAATACTTAGAAGTTGGGCATAACTGAGAGTTTTCTCTCAGAACAAGTCAAATTACATTCATTTTCTCTTTGCATGTTTATCTTGATCTGAATGATCTTCTGCTTAGAAATCTTGGATATCAAGGAGCTGAAAGACATGACCCTTCTGTTCCTTCCATTATTTTTCCACATCCCAGTGTGATGTATTATTTTGTTTTTCTTGAAGCCCTAACAAATTCACATTTAGCAGCTTAAAATTTCTATCCTATAGTTCTGTAGGCTAGAAGTCTAACATTGGTCTCCCCAGGTAAAATCAAGCTGCCAGCAGGGATGGGCTGCTTCCTGGAGTCTGTAGAAAAGAACCTATTTCCTTGCTCATTTAGATCATTGGCAGAATTGGCCCCTTGAGGTTGTGGGACTGATAACTCCATTTCCTTATTGGCTCTCAGCTGAGGGTTCTTCCCAGCTTCTAGAGTTCTTCCACTTGCTTGCCTTGGCTCATGAACCCTTCCTCCATCTTCAAAGTCAGCAATACTTCTGCCTTCCTACTCTAGTTTTAAGGATTCCTATGATTTCATTAGGCCCACGTAGATAATCTGGGATAATCTACCCATCTCAAGGTCCTTAGCATTAATTATATCTGTTAAGTCCTTTTATCATGTGAGGTAACATAGTTATAGGTTGCAGGGGTTAGAGTGTGAACATATTTGCAGGGCTATTATTTGGCCTATCACACATTGCCTTCATCTCCTCTAATCCCTCCTGGGAAACATAGTCAGTGGCAGAATAAGGGGCCAGATATGTTCTTGTTGGGATCTCGTGGGTATCAGTAGAAGCAGACGCAGCAGTATTTCTGGAGAACGAGTCCCTTGTAAAATATGATAGATTTTAGTTCTGACCCATCAATGAAACCAGAATCCAGTGAACCTTTTGAGGTTAAAAAAAGTAAATTTCTAACTTGACATTTCCTCAGCATTTGCCAGTATAGAAAATATAGAATTTGGATCATAACCCTTGCCCACTGTATGCACAAATTACATTATCAAGCTGAGGAAAGGCTTCATGATGATGATGTGTAGCATATCCTAAGGGAAAAAGGAAACAGGGATAGGAAGATGTGAACCACTCTCATGGATTAATATATTGTTATAATCATTTGAAGGACATGAGGTATTGTTTAACCACATTTTGGGCCTTTTAGGAGGTTTCTTGGGAGCAAGTCTAACCCTTGTGTCTGTTTTACTGCTTAATCCCCAGCATCTGAAATATTACTTACCACTTAGTTCGTACTCAAGAAAGAAATACTTGTTGATTGATGGACTAGAGTGGAAACTCAGGTCAGAAAGGTGAATTGATACAATCAAGGTCACTCAACTGATATGTGGCACAACTGGACCTAGAAACTAATTTCGATTCTAGATTCTTTTTTACCAAATTGAAGAGTCAGGTCCAACACCAAACGGTCTCTTGTGTGAAGACTTTCTACCTTATATGTAGCAATTCCTCTTCCTATGTAAAATTATTACTAACCAAATCAATTAAATGTCTGAGATGTGAGTCAAAAGACATGAATTCTATTCCCAATTCTCCCATTCACTTCTTCTGCCACCGAAACAAATTACTAAACCCACCCAAACTCAGTTTGTTCACCTGTCATGAGAGAGGCTGACACTTCTTTCAGCTCTCATATCCTGTAATTTTAGTTTCACGAAAGCTAATGAATAAATAAACTCACCTATGGACTTTATATCTCGATATTTTTCCTCTCAGTTTCTTGAACTGTGGTCAGCACATCACCACTATCAGAATCTTGTGGGATCCTTTATATAGGCTGAGTTTACAGTATTTAAAAATAATGAATTAGATACATTGTTATAATTTGCATTTTATTTATTTTTATTAGAGCTTAATGATTATACATAGTAGTTGGGTTCATACATGCATAGAAATAAATAATTTGAATTTTAAATGCATCCCAGAAGCATATGTTGAAAGTTTGGCTCCCAGCTGGTGGCACTATTGGGAGGCCGGGACATTTAAGAAGTGGAGCCTATTTGGAGGAAGTAGGTCATTGGGGCCATGCCCTTAAAGGGTATATTAAGAGCCAAGCCCTTTCCTCACTTTCTATCTCTATCTGCGCTTTCCAGCTGCCATGAGGTGAGGAGCTTTGTTCTACCATGTTCTCTGTGATGTGGTATTCTGCCTCACCACAGGTCCGAAGTGATAATAGGTCCATCCAACCATGGACTGAAACCTCTGAAATTGTAAGCCAAAGTAAATCTTTTCTGCTTTTAAGGTATTTATCTCCAGTTTTGTTTTGTTTTTTTTGTTATAGTGATCAAAATCTAACCTATGGATAGTTGTTGATTTGGGGGGATTTCCATTAGGCCATGCTTCCCAACTCTTTTTTGCTTCACATAATGTGATAATACTTATGTGGCAAGCTGGGCACAGTGGTACAAGCCTGAAATTCCAGAGGCTTGGGAGGCTGAGGCAGGAGGATCACAAGTTCAAAGACAGTCTCAGCAATTTAGTGAGACCCTGTCTCAAAATTAAAAATAAAAGGGCTGGGGGTGTTGCTCAGTGGTTAAATGTCCTTGGGTTCAATCCCTGGTAGCCCCCAACAACCCAAAAAGAATTACCAAAAAAAAAAAAATTTAAGTGGCATACTGGCATAAGAAAACTTTGTCTCTTTGCTAATGCACATATTGCTGAGAAACTCTGCCATAAGTTACCATTTAGTGAGGGGAAACAAGTTGCAGAAAAATATGCATATGATCCTATTTTTTCACAATGTCAAGATGTAGTATGAGAGTACATAATCCTGTACTATGATTATGTGAGTGGTATAGTATGTGATTATGGATATATAATATTGTAAGATTGTTCAAAGATATATACAAGATTTTTAACATAGGGAAAGAGAAGATAAACAAAAATTTTCTTTGAAGAATAAAAAAAGTACTATATGATGAATCCATCTTATGCATTTATATAACATTAATATAAAGACATTTTAAATATAGAACAAAAATGCAAATTCAGGACCCCTATTTTAGACCCCTTGAAGTAGAATCTTCAGAATAGGAGGTATGAAGAGGTGGGGGTCTGCAACTTTAACAAGTATTCCTAGTGATTTTACAGCAATGAAGTCTTACATCTTTGCATTATGTGCAAACGCTATTAGTTATAAACAGTATAAGACAGGTTCAACTGATACTTATTGTCTTGGAACATACTAGATGCATAGTAAATAGCTACCAATTATTTGAGTCCTTTGGAGGATAGGTGGAAAGAGTGAGGACCATATTGGTGAGAGAAGCAGATCAGCTGAGTGAAGTCAAGTTCAGTAGGGATGAGGCAAAGCACATAGGAACCTTTTTGGACATTTAATAGGCTCTAAATACATTTTTATATCATTTCATTTTATTCTTAAATAACCTTTTGCAGGTTCAGAGAGGTGAAGTGAGTGGCACAAAGTACTATCAGAATTGGAATTTGAACCCAACACATTTAGAAGCACTGTTATAAACCAGGCACAAGGCAGCTGCTGAGTATGATTGTAAGCACAATCCATTGCTTGCTTTTTCATATCTAGACTCTTACAGCTCTGAGGGGATTATTCTCATCTGTTATCACTTACTAGATAGTTGACACTTTCAGTCCCACTGCCTAGGAGAAGCTGCTTTGTTATGCCAGCCTGGATCCAATCTAAAACAGATTACAGCAAGTGTGTTTTCTTTTCCAGCTTGTGTTTTCACATTGAGGAGAAAGTATTATTTCCTAGGTGACTTTGCATAGTGTAAGCCCTCCCACCCCAAAGGCCTAGGAAGACTAAATCTAGATACTGCCAATTCTTAGAAACTTAGAAAGTCAAACTAATTCTGGCTCTCACTAGCTTCATCTGAGTGCTTTTATGTCAGCGCGGAAGGAAGACAATTGTGAGGAAAGCGATATCCTCCCAACAAAGTTCAGGAGTGGCTCAATGTACACAAAAGTATTCCTTACACATGCAAATGCTAATCTCATTCCTGACGTTGGGATGAGAATAAGCAAAAAGTCAAGAGGTGTATATTTTACACCCAAATATCTGAAAGTAAACAAAAACCCGGCTTCTGTCTTTCACTCCTATTAACTTGGAGGCATTGATATCAGGACTCAAGCCCCCTTTTCCTTTCCTTCTCCAGCTCCCACGCCATCATTTGGCGGGTAGGGGTGGATGGGAAGTACTGAGGCCCGGTACTGCATCTCATTTCTTTCCCAAACCTCCTTGGAGCAAGTTCGGATCGTCGAGATGGTTCTCCATGATTTTGAAGCAACCTAGAATGGGGGGGGGCACGAAAATGGGAGGCTAGGATTCCCAGGTTGGGTCAGGCGTGAGCAAAATTCATTATCGAGGGCTGCGACCCGCGGCAGTTCTTTGGGGACAGCTGCCGAGGTTTCTCCAGTTCCCTGACTGCCGCGGTCGGTCACTGGCTCCCCAGGTGTGCGGGCCGCGTCCCAGACCGCCTCCCCAACCTGACAAGTGGGGTCAGGGTGCTTCTTCCCCACAAAACACCACCTCTTCTTTAAAGTCTGGCACGGTGGGTCTTAGGAATCCGATCTCAAATCCATGTTAATATAATCTCTTTCAAGCCAGACCTAATCGCTCGTCTCACTCGGTCCTCGGAGTGTGGGACGCGTCACTCTCGCTACCCCTCCGTTCCCGGCTCCCTCCGCCCGTGCTCCCTCCTCGATCCTAGCCAAAGCCCGGAGCGTGGGATCCGTGCCGCCGGCCCGGAGCCCGTCGCACCGGGCATGCTCAGTGGCACGGCCGGCTGGGTGGCCCCGCGAGCTGCACCCGGATCTGCTCGGCGGCAGCGGCGGCGACGTGAGCGCGCAGGGGGGCGGCGGCCTCGCCTCGTCTCTCTCTCTGCGCCTGGGTCGGGTGGGTGACGCTGAGCGCGAGAGAGATGTCGGATTTTGACAGTAACCCGTTTGCGGATCCGGATCTCAACAACCCCTTCAAGGTGAGCTTCGGCCCCAGCATCTCTTACCGCCACGACGCGTCGTTGTTTGTGACAACAAACGAGTTCCTTCGCGTCCCCTGTACCTGTCCCTCGGCCAGAGAGGGGATGGGACGGCCGCACCCCATTTGGGGGTCGTACTTGGCCCCCCACTACGCTCTTTGAGGTTTGGATTGGAACCTCCCCAGCTCTGCGTCGGCTGCCCCGCCCCACGTCACCTGCCGATGAGGGTCTTGCCCTCTCCCGGGATTGGGCCCTCATCCTATTCTTGGGAGCTGGGAGGGTGGCGGCCGAAAGGCAGGTGGAGCCGTCACTTGCTGGGCAAGTGTGTCTGGCAGGCCCAGGCAAGGGCCAGGAGGACGCCGAGGGGGCCCGCCCTGGGGTGGGGTTGTCATGGGGACCCAAGGAAGCGGCAGTGTCGAAGAAGACCAGCGTGGGGTGATGGCAGAAGTCAGGGCAAGAGATGAGGGTACCGAGTATGCTGCAATTAAAAAATATATTTATATGTGTTTATTATTTAAACTCTTGTTGAGCCCAGGTACCACTAGCGGCGCTGCCATGCCGCCTCCCCCTATTAGATTGAGGTTAAGGGAACTGATATCAAAGCAGAAGTTAAAAATAAATAAACATATCTGGAAAACAATAGTGCACGTGGTCGACATCTTCCTACCTAGCTGCTCCTAGCAAGGTAAAGGACGGGATATTTTCCAAGCTCCTAGTGCGTCACTAGTGTTCTGGGCTGTTTGAAGATACCATTTCCCGCAAGAGCTGCTTTCCTTCTTGGATTCGACCTAATCATCCCCAGCTTCAAAAGGGCTTGGCACACAAACCAGCAAAGAAAGGCAGCTAAAATATTCATTATCTGGGCTTAAATGCAACTATCTCTAGAAAAGTGCTCTGGATTTCTTAATGAGGGTAAAGCTTAGAAAGTGTAATATGTTTCCAACTGTTGGTTGTTTATTAATTTCTCCTGACCATGTGCTTTAGTAGCTTTAATTTGTAGTCACAAAATAGTAACTTTAATGTGTGGTCACACAAGTGGCACTTCTGGTTTATTTCTCTTTCTTATTCCAGGTTTTACTTCTTATGAAGAACTCAGGAAGAGGGGGGAAAATGCCTGTTTTGATGGTGGCCTGATAATTTCGTGAAGGATTATTTTAATGAAATGATCCTAGTTATAGTTAACAATTTGACTTACTTTATAGAAATATGAAGTACTCAGTCACTATTCTCTTGCCCCCAATGTCATTTGAGAAAATTTAGTACAACTGGCCTGTAGCTTTTAGCTTTTGTAAAAGATGATTTGGTTGCATTTTTGAGAACTTTTCCCTCCAGAAGTTTTGTTGTAGTTAGACTCCCTTCTATGCTGTGGGGGGAAAAAAGTTATTCTGAAATCACAGAGCTCCTAAAGAGACATTTCATAATTTGCCAAATGGGTGTTATTTTAAAATATTTTGAAGGTATAATAGTAAGAACCTGTTAGCTTTTCCTAATTCAGATATCTCATTGGTGCGGTTTATTTTTTATTTAGTCATAGATTACATGGCTCATTTCATATTAACTTCTCTTGTTAAGCAAGATATTGTCGTCCTAGCTCCGACTGCTCTTTTGTGACATCTAATGTTGCCATGACACTTGCCTCTTCTGACATCCATATTGTTACTGTAGTAATTCTAAACCCCAAAGTAGTTTTAAGTATACATTCAGTGTGATATAAAATTATAAACTTTGCTTTCTTTGAATATGGGAACAATGATTTTTCAAGTACATGAAATGCTTTAAGAAATAGATAATTTAGGTTTAAAGAAGACTTAGTTGTATACATTTTCCGAATGATCTTTTTCTATTTTGTATACAACTGCCCCTGCTCAAAGTTTATATCTGTAGTACATACTTTTTTTCTTCTGCTTCTTTGATTTTTTTTTTTTTTTTGGTGCCAGGGATTGAATCCAGGGGTGCTTCACCACATTCCCAACCTTTTTTATATTTTATCTAGAAACAAGCTGTAGCTGAGTTTCTTAAGGCCTTGCTAAGTTGCAGAGGCTGGCTTTGAACTCGTGATCCTTCTGCCTTAGCCTCCTGAGCCACTGGGATTACAGGCATGCACCACCGCACAGGCCATAAAAGTGATTTTTGAAATAACATTTTTTATATTCTCTACTTAAAGCTAAATAGTTCCTAGATTCATATGTGTGTTACCTTATGATCATCCTTCTTTTCAAATCTTGTTTGATATTTCACATTTGCTATCTATTCTAACTTTTGATTAAATCAGGTTTGATAATCATTTTGTTATTCCTTAACATTACTTTTGCTTTACCATTATATTAGGAACACTTGTGCAAACATCTTCATTTGAGCCATGTCATAAAATGATTTCTGAGTAGAATCCTTTTAGGTGATATGACTACAGTGGTTTACTTGATTTTATTGGCTGTTACTTCCTAGATTCAATTCATTCTATTTATTTTTTGGATCACCTGCTTTATTCCAGTGGTGCTAGTCATAGTAAATGGCTTTATGAAGTTTGAATGTTTTTATTCATAAAGAAACTTGAAGTAATTGAAAAACTATAGTATTCCGAAATAAATAGATAATTGTATGGAAGTTTGAAAATCCATTCTGGAGTTGTTAAGTGTAGTTGTTAAGCTTGAAAGAAAAAAATGTTTTCTTCATAATAAGTGTGTATTAACAATTGGCATGTTCCTTATTCTTTTGTTCAGTTGTTCGTTCATTCAACAAGTTTTGAAGAAATATCTCTATCCTTAATGGATATTAGTCTAATGTGGAGACAAACAAGCCTGTAAAGGAGAGTTCAATAACCAACAGAGATTAGTTATACTGGTTTCTGCAAGTCAGGATAAAAATGTATGACTAAGGGCCAGAATTAGTGTAGTTTGTTCACCCATGGGTAGGTAGTATAGAATTGGTGTCAACACTCTTGGAGTCCTGATTACCAGTCCATTGTTGGTGGCACAATGTGTCCATTGTATTTCTGACTTCAAAATTCTTGTTTTTTATTTGGGGCCCCCCATTAGAAGAATTTGACATTAAATATGAACACAATGACCATTTTGTTTTGGCCTTAAGAAGTAATTCTGCTTTTTAAATAGAATAGTCCCCCTCATCCTATTTTAGTTACCCATGGTCAACTGTTGAGAGCCACAGCCAAGTTGGGATGGCTCCTAGCCTTTTGCCAGTACTTGAGTTTTCCCGAAGTTCCCGTTGAGTTCTGATTGAGCTCTCGCAGGGATTCCATGGAGAGTTTCGTTGGTTGGTGAAGTTCCCGTGGAGGGAGTTCGGGTTGGTGTGTGGTGTGACCCAGAGAAGGCCACGTGGGTGTGTTCGCGGGAGTTCAGAAATAAAGTTTGTTTCTGCTTTAGTGATTTGTGCCTAGCCAGACTGCGGCAGTCAGCCACTTTTAGAAAATATTAAATGAAAAAATTTCAAAAGCAAATAGTTCATAAATATTAAATAAGCTTTTTTATAGTATATTATGATTGTTCTATTTTTTAGTTATTGTTAATTTTTTACTATGCCTAATTTATAAATTAAATATTATCATGGGTTTGTGTGTGTATGTATGTGTATCTATATATATATATATACATATTTATTTATATATATATAAATCTCTATTTCTGGTATCTGTAGTGTCTTAGAACATATCCCATAAGAATGTCTTTTAAAAATGGCCTGAAATTTACCATTCTCATTTATGTTATGTTTTAGCTTATAGTAATTTTAGTGACATCTTAAGAATTTAGTTGAACAATTTTAAACCTTGCCATTAAAAACTGACCCATAATTCAAAGTTGCTAATCATTTGTCTTATCTGTTCAGGCTGCTATAATAAAAATACCTTATACTGGGCAATTTATAAATAGCAAAAACTTATTGCTCTCACTTCTGGAGGCTGCAAGTTTAAGATCCAGTGGCCAGTAGATTCAGTGCTGATATGAACCTGATTTTCATAAATGGTTCCTTCTGTGTGTCCTCACATAGCAGAAGGGGAAGGTAGCTCTCTGGGCCTTCTTTTTAAGAGCATTAATGCCATTCTGGGAAGGCTTAATCACTCACCAAAAGCTCCACTTTCTAACATCATCACCTTGGTGTTTAGCTTTCAACATATGAATTTTGGGGTACCCAAGACTATGCCTCCACTTGTTTTCATTTTATAACATCAAGGATGTCATCCATTTTATTTTACTACATTTATAGTGACATTTACATGAAGCTGATGTTGCTGTTTTTCTACCAATTTAAAATTTTGAGTCAGAAGATTGGGAGCCCTAGAATTAAAATGCTGCCCATTTTAAGATGCACAATTATTTTATTTACCACTATCTCAGTTATCTGTTGGTATTCAACAGTTTCAAATGTGGTTTTAAAGCAATTCATGGGTTAGTGATTTTGTTATTTAAGCTAGACTTAGCTGGAAGGTTTTTTTTTTTTTTTTGTGTGTGTGTGTGTGTGTTTAATTGTTGTGTTTTAAATGCTAGAGTCAGTCATGTGGCTTCAGTCATCTGACTGCTTCACTGGATAGTTTAAGATGTACTCACTCAAGTGCCTACTCATTATCTGGAGGCATCAGTGGGGGCAGATTGATTTTCTTTCATGTGGCCTCTTTACTGGGAATAGCCTGGGCTTTTTAGATAATAGTAGTAGTGTTCCAAGAAGACAAGAGCTGAAACTACAAGACTTCTTGAGTCATATGTCACTTCTGCTACATTTTGTTAGTGAAAAAAAAGCACAAGGTCATCTCAGATTTAAAAAGGAAGGGTAAGATTAGACTCCACTTCTGGAAGGGAGTGCTGTGCCCAAGCTGATAGAGATCTGTGAACTGAAAAGACACACCCCCTCTAGCATGGTGATACAGGTACAGGATAACCTCCATAGACACTCCCCTTAAAACAGAGGAGGAGTAGAAGGCATGTAGCAAATGCTGATCCAGAGAAGTTCTGAAATCTAGTCAGGCACATATTGTTAGTGTCCCCTATTTTGGGGAGAGTGAGGTTCCTTGGTTATGACCCAGTTCTGTCACCTGGAAATGGTTCTCTCATCTGTTGCTTTTTTTCTGCTTTTGACTTTGTTATCTGAGAGGTCCTTTATTTTCCCTGTAATAAATGACCCCTCTTTGCAGGCAGGTAGCATTTTCAGCTTGCTTCCTTTGGGTCCTGTTAAGAATTAGTAATGTTGGGCTGAGGATATAGCTTAGTGGTGAAACTTGTACTTAATGTGTCTCTAGCAGAGGTGGGGGGAGGAAGCTCATCAGTTGCTGGAAACTTGGGTTATTCTCATTATGAGAGGGACTGTTATGAATAATGCTGGTATAATATTCATGCATCTGTTTCAGAGGCTCTTGGTCATGTACTTGGCATGTAATTGATGGTTCATATGGTAATTCTCTGGTTAATTATTTGAGGAACAGTTAGACCCTTTTCCAAAGTGACTACACCATTGTATATTCCCATTA